TTCAACTTCCTTCTTGGACATAGGAAGAAAAAAATAAGATGAAGAGAATCGTGAATAACATTTCCTAATTCAACTCAGAGTGACATTTGAAGATTTTTTGTTATTCGAACGGGGGCAGTTTTTTTTTGTAATAACAGCTCTCCTACTGAGCTCAAATAGAAATTATTCTACCAGAAAAAAAAGCCAAACAAACAAACATTGAATTTTTCTTAGCGAGAAACTGCAATAAACACAGTTTACCTTTGATGCTAAAGCTAGCACTACAAAAAAATCTACTGATAAGTTTCCCGACCATTTAAACGTGTTGTTTACAACTTGCACTAACTCGCATCAGCTTGAAGTACTTGTCTATCTATGTTTTCTTGAGTTTAAAAATAAAATATCAAGTTGAAAATATGATTAGATAGCTAACCAAAGTGACGTCTAATTTTAGAATGATCAGACCTCAGTGAATATTATCACAACATTCCAAGCAATGCGAAATTGACGTGTCCAATTGCTGAAATGAGCTCTATCGTGACACTTCGTGACTGCCATGTTCAAAGTGTTTGCCACTATATCAAATTCTGAATCAAACTAACGTATGAGCGATCCATTTTGATAAATCCTGTTGGTTTGTGGAAAATCGAGAAACGGTGCGAGTCTGTTTAAAGTATTTGTTTTTGTTTTGTATTGTTTTCTTGCTCCGCCTCTGGAAACTGGTTTGAAACTTTGTAGTTTTGAAACGGGAATAAAACGCCAAAGTTTTTAACCTTCTTTATTGAAGTTCTAAAATTTGACGGCAGTGTGACCCAGTGGCCAGGGCGCGCTGGAATTGTAATCTGTTGGTCCCGGGTTCAAACCCTACCATGTTACTCTCTGGATTTTCGTTTGCTCAGTGTTCAACTGCTTGACTGTTCACCGTCAACCTCAGTTATTTTTCCATCTCTTACAAAGTATTATCCTTGTCAGACACTTTGATCGTTGACTGATGCGGAGAACTACCTGAATATGGTCCATAATTATTGCGTAAAAACGGAAAACACGAAATATTTAACTTGCTTCCTGTATTGCAGCTATCTAATTGTTATTAGATGAAGTGAAGCAAAGACATGTAAACCTTTGATTACTGAGAGGTGCTATTTCTCTCAGGCTCAGTGACAGTTATAACTATGGTTACTACAACTACTTTACTACTAAACAACGTGTAATAATTCTTTCTCAGAAGCCACTACTTTAGGCAGTACGATAATTGATATAGTGCAGTAAAGACATGCAAACCTCTGATTACTTACACGTGCTATTTGTCTCAGGCTCAGTGACAGTTATATATACCAACTAGAGTAATAGCTCATACCTTCTCTGTTACAGGTCACATACACTCAAATAAGCCTGAAAATATTATTAAATTAGGTTTTAACTGGTCGTCATTTCGGACCTCTTGCTGGTGTTGTTTTGTTTTTTGTGGGAATGGCTTGTATAAGAGCTACTAGCGTAGACATCATTGAAATTTTGCTCAACAAGTTTTCCTGCAAGATTCACCTGTTAAGGTATGATTTAATCGAAATAAGGAACACTATACTCCTGCAACTACTTTACTAAACAACGTGTAATAATTCTTTTTCAGGAGCTACTCATATAGGCAATACAAAATTGTCATTTAAAAACTTACTTAAGCCCATGACAGACTATAACTTAGCTCTCTACGGAAACCGAAGACTCACCTTTGCCTCCAAATCCCCACAAAATACAAAATTTTTGAAGGATATCACAGTACTGAGCTATCTTTCGGTAGAGCTTCCTTTATAGTCAGTCTTTTCCGAAAAACTAAATTACCACTCCTAGCTGATTGAGTCCTTATATACATTCACGACGTATTTTAAAACATTCCGGAATTCGAAGCTTACAACACAACTGTTGTGGCAGAAATACATCATAATTACATACCTAATAGAATGTTTTAGTTTTCCATGCTATGTCATCAGAAAGTTTGAGTATGAATGTCATAGTGACTAAGAATTTTTGAAATTATTCACAGTCTCTATCCACAACACACCTAATACGACTTAAAAATCCTTGTAAATAATGATGCCAATGAAAGCATGACCGAACATAATAAACAACTGGCTCATAATCACGGACTGCCGTGATCCATAGTGGAGGGCTTTCAGACAGAATAACAATTACATGCCCAGAATGGGTGGGTATTAAAAGCTGCTTTAGTCTCTAACGACCTGAGTAAACATCAAGAGTCCAAAGCGTTTTGTAATAAGCAAAATACAATGCTCAAAGTTGTGCTTAAAACTTACTTAGTGAAGCTCTTCGATTGGAATAGATATAGGTGATACTAAGTTTATTGGAAAGCTAACTAATGCCCATAGTTGTTTAAATTTGCCCCGGGGGGGGGGAGGGGGAGTGTGTTCTAACACTCGGATAAGCAACAATTGTTGAATCGACTCTGATGATGATTTCCGCTGAGGTTATAGAAATGTTAGTCACTATTACTGACAACCTTCTGTCACAACTTCTCTGGAGTACTCCTACTTGGAAGATCAAACTTCGCCGTCCAAAGGTAGTCTTCTGTTCAAACTATTCACTATTTAACACTAATCATAAAAAGTGGATCATGTGAAATTCTGAAGGTCCCTGTTATACAATAATATACATGTGCCAATAAATCGATTTGTGAATCATTTCGCTGTGCAGAATAACTTGCTTATAGCATTTAGTCTGTGCTACAGTAACGCAGATTACAAGCATATACCTTTCGTAGTTTGTAAGTAAAGTAGGATCCGCAGTCTTTCACTTTAATAATCATTGATTTCCTGCAACAATTTGCACCTCTGGTAAAGCAGACCTCGGAGTAAACCTCACCATCTGCCAATGTGGGGTGACCACCTTTTAGCCAGCCTGAGAAGACCGCACCACATCTATAACTCGGTACGCACTGGGTTGGCATTTTTGTTCCTGCATCTCCCACGAAACGATACCATTTCCCGAATATTATGGATGAGGATTCGTCGTCACATTTTTCTGCACCGTGAGGTGTGATGTAGGTGCTCTTTCTGTCAGCATCGCTCAGGTTTATGTAATTATAGCACGGATCGGCTAAAAAGTTGAATTTCGGTTAATGCGATGTTTTATATATTTCTTTATAAGAAAGCTTAAGAAAAAAAACGCTATTATATAAACTGCGGTGGTTTAAAACGATTTCCCGCCCTGAGAAGAGCTGGGAAGTTCTTGTTAAACACGTGTGTAATATTACGATAATTTTTTACATGTGATTAATTTCACAATCAGCTTTGTCAGGTTAATAAATGAATGGCAAAGCGTTGACCGTTCTCAATCCAGGGTCGTATGTTGAAATTTTCTTGAATTATGGCTGCTAAAAAAAACAAAGAAAAATTCGTATTTCAACAGACAATGTCACTCAAAATTTCTTAGAAGGAAAAGTAAAACAAAATACGAAAAGAAAAACCTTTAGTTAGGTCCTCGACCTGAGTAATGGTATTTCTCGTGGTTGAGAACGAAAATCGACAACTGGAAGATTTGCCACTGGCCGATTTCGGGCGTGTACATGAAAAAATTTCTTTTGTCGGTAAGGAAAAAGTCAATAACTGAGAATTTTGTAAAAAGAAAGCTACGCCCATTGTCTGTTTCTGTAATGGTTCAACGCATATATTCGTCTTGAGCGTTATCGCCGATGCGCTTTACGCCTTTTTTTTTTTCGTGGATTGTGAAACCTATATAAGTTTTGTGCTCGGTGAAGAAGATTCCTCATGGGGACTCAGAATTTTTCTTTATCCCACGCTCGTGACAAGACGAAAAAACATCTTTCTTAATTCTTCATCGAGCTCAAAACTTACCATCTCTACTATTTCTATCAAAAACATTACGCTGTCGACATTGCTGATCCTAGCAGTATGCAGGACGCGTGTTATAAGAACTTCATAATAGATCTCGCTCATCGAAGAGTCTTGGTGGCTCAGTGGTAGAGCATCGGAGCGCAAAAAAAAAGAAGACATAGCTAAAAACGTGCACAAAGCCCGTTACTTGATGATGAAAATCATTACCTTGAAAACAACGACGTGAGGAACGTTTTGAGTGGTAATAATTACTAATATATATAAATAATTTCCACAAATTACATATCAAATTTTCCACACGCTCGAGACTTTGTACCTTTTAAGTTTTTTCTTTTAATTTTTACTTCGAAATCCCTTGATTCCAGCTACCGAAAAATGTACCTTGAAATGACGCTGCGGGAAAAATTGCTAGTAGAGGCATAAATGAGGTAAGTGTTGCCCGTCATTTCTCTCAAACAAACAAGGTGACCTGCCTTTCTTATTGCATTTTTCGAGACAGCCATTGGTAGGAAACATTTAAAGGCAGACTTAAAAAATTGTTAGATGTCTTTTTTTTCTTCTGAGGAATTACCTTATTAGGTCAGAGTGAGAAAATCGGTTTCCCCAAGTTCAAATCCGTTGTTCTGTCCTGTAAGTCTATCCATCAAGTCTCCTTTGCCAGTTGAGATTTTTTTACCACTGAATGTTTAATGAATACAATGGTGTCATTGTCGCCATTGTCTTCAGGCCTACACTCATCTCTTTTTATACAAGGTATGCTGGTAAAACAACTCTTACAAAGATGATAGTGCCTTTCTTTCTTATGGGAATGGTTACAAAGGAAACGCATTAAGTACCTGTGCAGTCGCTTCCATTTTCATTATATCTGGGGTGACAAGTACAAACGTGCGATCCTTTGGTGTTCGTGCATGTAGCATTCACGTGACAAGAGTGATTTCCTTTACACTCGTAAATATCTGAGAAACTATTCATAAATTTTTCACTTTATCATTTTTATGACCCATAGTCATGTAATTCCTCTTATCATTACAAAATGTGTAACAAAATATGTAGATCGTGGTAACTCTGTGAATGCATGGATAACGATGGATAACGCTGCATAGAATTATGAGACGATTAACAAAAATTAGTTATATATGGAAATATTAAAACTACCTGAACACGAGCGTCCATCGCCGTTGTATCCCACTTTACATGTGCATTTGTAAGAACCATATGTGTTAGTACAGTTTGCATTCACGTCGCAGTCATTGATGTTAAATTTACATTCATCCATATCTAAAATGTTGAAAGAGAAGTAGTGACTAAGTTAGAGGAACTTGAGAGGCATCCACGCCAGAACTGATCCAAACTAAATATTGCCATAATGATATCAATAATAGTATAATTTATATTAATTTCTTAATACTGATAACTCATTACAAAATAAAATAACTCGAGCAAAGTTATAGGACCTACCTTCGTTAACCATATCGCAGTAAATCAGTTTTGCTTTTCCTTTTGTAGTTGGATCCAGCCAGTACTTGCCGCTTACGGTGTGTTTACCTTCACTCGCCTTTATTTCGTGACAAGACAGCGCCGGTAATTCAGGGATAGAACCTAAGGGAGCTGCAGTAAAGATATGTTTTACATTCACTTCCTATTCTTAGCTCTTTCAGGTGAGAAAGAGACAGGTTGAGGATGGAGAAGATTTAAGAGAAACAGAAATCACATTGATGGAAAGACTTTTGATTTCTTACCTCTGCCGTTCGATCGCCGCATGTAAAACCACGCGGGTGCTGAGAGGAAATTCTCTGGTCTCGCCTCCTTAGTGCGGTTATTTAGTTCACATATTTGGTATTTTCGATTGTAGTTATAGCTTTGGCACGTAATCTCTTGTCTACATTTGACATCGCAAAGGTGAGGAGCCGCCAGTGAACATCTTTTGAAGACAGAACTCCCGAGAGCCATTCCTTCTATGTTTACTTCGGTCCTACATTGATCATTAGCTGTGACAAAATCCATGGTAGAAACGAAAAGGATGAATCTTAAATGGCGGAACAGCCACCACATACTTCTTTGCTTGTGCTGAATCTGAAAATATTGAGAATAGGATCATAGAAAGAAAAAAGACGAGTTTTCCCTCAACAAAACTTGTTTGATACCAGATGAAGCCATATAGCAATAATACTACACGTACATTAAAACCTTGCCTGTAAATTCGTTCAGGCACTTTCTAGTTCATGATGTGAGTAAAAAATTTGCACAAGGCTCGATAGGATGCCAATCGTCAAGGAAGATCAGCACAACTCTTAACATTAAACTTTAATTTTGAAGGCTCCTTTAGTTTCTGTGGAATGATAACTTTGATCTGCTTAAGGTATTTTGAAATGTCCTCCTGATAGGCCTGATCACTTTACGCCCCCATAGAAGAACGAATGTTCAAGCATTAAAAATCTTCATTTCGAAATATTGGTTCCAAATGTAAAGTGACAACGACTCAAACTCGACAAAAACTTCAGATGAAATAACATAGTCTCATTATGAGCGAGAAAAAAATACAATCTTTAACAAGTTGGCTAATTAACATTTATAAGCTGCTGATTATCCTCATTCAGTTATGAAATAAAAATCCCGAAGATTGTTGAAACCCTTTATTTATCTACAAAGTCCAGTAACCCAAAGGGTAAGAAAGATTCAAATATAAAGCTTCCAAACTATATCTGATAAATAATCCTTTCTACGTTGTTCGTAACACATTCAACATTTTGGACGGGGTTCAAACTTTAGCGACCTTTTGATAATTTTTTAGATAAACAGAGCAATATATTATTTACCAGAACTTTTGTGGTGCATAGAAGTAATCATGTAAAGGTTCAGTTAGTAAACCTCGAGTATTGATAATCTGCTTTCGTTGAAAAAGACCTCAAGATAATTTTCTTTTAAAATCGCACCATACCCTTCTTTGGGAGTGAAGCCAACCTTTTCCTTTGATATGCAAATCCTTTTCGTAAAGAATATAAATTTTCCAGGGATAGTATTACTCAAATCATCCATCGGTGTTTTCGATATAATCAAGTCTTACCTCTCAAGATGCAAAGCTCTTTGGTCTTCACTACTTTTGAGGTAAAAGTGCTTTCTTTTATAACAATATGGTAGCTATGATTACCATAGAAACACCTGGTTTCAAGCCAAAACGATGATTAACTTTAGATAAGAACTTCCTTGTTCCTTCTACAATGTCACTGAACCATGGCAAAGATCAAATATTTGTTTAGGAAAAACTACGCAAATGTTATCACGATCTTAAATTTTTCAGTGAACGTAATTTTCACCAGGTTTCTTTGAAACGTTGTTCAAAAATTATCCTTCTACCATCAAACATCACGATCTCAAATCGGTCTTATTATCATGAAAATTCGGTCTAAAGTAGCTTTTAAACGTTGTTTAAGAAGATTTCCTTTAAGTTCTCAAATAATCCAGTGTGTATCTAAGGAAACTCCACCGTGTGCTAATAAAGGATCGCTAATGAAAAACTAATAAGAGAAGAATGTCTTTGACAAGGAAATATTGCCAGCCTCAAGAAACGTCAAGCCTTCAATTGCGTAATCTATACGCAAAGCTCTAAACATACAACGACACTCTTAGGTTTGTATCAATCAAAAGGGTCCCACTTACGGTGTATGCAACTTCCTGAAGATAAGTAGGGGCTGAGTAAATTTGTACGGGCAGGGAAAACTACATTTTTTTCCCTTTTTGCTTTAAGAACTATTGCACTTGTTTGAGGTTTTTAAAGTTAGGTCTTTAATTAAGAAAGGACTTTCATCAACCTGACGCCTAATTTTAGCTTGAAAACTTGCTCTGGCCTCGAGGAAGTCTTCCAGCAAATACTGGCGATTCGTGTAAGAATATATCTATCAAAGTTTACACAGCTCCATTTTGCGGGAAAGCCACAATGCCATAATTCACAGACGTCAAACACACGCAATACAAACGATTTGCTCGAACCTCAAAGACTTCAGAGCTACAATACAAATTCAAGTTGACAGTGAGGACAAACAGATCAAACGAAATGCGGTGTAAATTTGCATTGTTCCGCCATATATTTAAAATCGATCGCTAAATATTGTTTAGCTTGATAGTTTTTAATGAGTCGTCGACAATGTAGTTTAAATAAATTATTATCGCTGCAGAAATGTCAATTTTTTTCCTTTTAATATTACTCATAGTTTATTAAATTGTCTTCTGTCTTGTCTCAAGCAACGCTAAATCAACACGTAATAATGACTCGAAATTATTTGAAAAGTTCCTATTCTTGTAAAATCGTTCGCTCTTCTTCCTAGGGCTTCGTCACCACAAGTTAGACAACGAGCACAACGTTTTCCGTCCGCATGGTAAAATCATCCCGACAATTTGTGCACGATGAAACATTTAGACGGCTTCACGCACTCTGTAGGAGTTTTAAAACATAGTTTAGGCGCACTTTTACCAGAATAAACAATACATTTTTCCCCTTTATTCAACATATTAAATGTTTTTTTCAAGATGACAGACAAGGCACATATCAGATGCTGTTTACGTCTTTCTATGAGACACCAAATGACGTCTTTAATAAATTATCTCTTATCATTCCAGCTTGCCTGATTCTTCGATGGAAGTTGCTCGAATTTTCAAGGTACACTTAAAATTGTTTAAGTTCTTTTAGGTGTGATTTGCCACTGAAAAATAGCTCAATAATTTCGAACTTCAATTTAATTAAAGAAATAAAACTTTGGAAAACTGTGTGATCCACATTTCTAATCCTCAAGTCTCTATTGTTTAAATTTCAATTGTATTAGTCTCGATGCACGAATGGTTTAATTTCTGAAATTGAAAACTGTCAAACAATCTTTAGAACTTATGTACGGACGACCTTTTTTCAACATTCGTTACATTTTTGTTTTGTATCTGAAGCAAAGAACTTTACATGAATTCAAGAAAATGTTCCAGTAGAGATTTGTGAAATTGTTTCGAAGACAGCTTTCAGGACATGGGGTTTGCCTCACCTAAGAGGCGTGCATTTTTCAAGAAACTCATATAGCGTCGCTCCAAAGGCCCTGTTTACTATTCGAGTTGTTATCAGATAGTTGCCTTTTAACTGTCGACTGGTCTTATTCGCGTTTTCAACGACATAGAGAATACTTTATTTAGGCAGGCGATAAATTAAATCGTGCTATTTCTGGAATTATGTATCGACCAAACTGTTCGAATAAAGCTCATGTAGACTTATTTTCCACCGATTACGATTCATCTTTCGTTAAATGTGTTTCATTGACGCCTTGAAACGAAGTAAGTAGGTGCAGATGTAGAATATGGAATTAACAATCAAGGAAATGCAGATGCTAGAAATACAGAATATTGTGGTGAAGCTTGCAAGATTTATTTTGCGAAGCATCGTGTATGTTTTAGCCTTCATCCTGAACCTTGCATTTTACTTTTAACAAAAGGTAAATTGGGTGTTGTTGTTAAGTTGTTATTAACACATTCAGCATTTTGGACGGGTTTGAAACTTTGGCGACCTTGGGGAAATTTTTGAAGTAAGCAGAGCAACATATTGTGTGCCACTGCTTTCGTGTTACATAGAAATAATCATGTTAAGGTTTAGTTAGTAAACCTTGTGTATTGATAGTCTGCTTAATCTGCTTTCGTTTAGAAAGACCTAGTTACTCTGCTTTCAAAAATGCACTATACCCTTATTTGAGAGTGAAGCCAACCTTTTCATTGTGGTATGCAGAATTAAAAGAGCCACAGGTAGACATCCTTTTGGTAAAGAATATGAATTTTCCAGGGATAGTATCACTCAAATCATCCATCTGTGTTTTCGATTTGATCAACTCTTACCTCTCAAGTTGCAAAGCTCTTTGGTCCCTCACTGCTTTTGAGGTAAAAGTGCTTTCTTTAGCTATGGTTGCAATAGAAACACACTGTTTGAAGCCAAAACGATTATTTATTTTAGATAAGAACTTCCATGTTCCCTTTACAATGTCACTGAACCATGGCAAAGTTCAAATATTTTTTTTAGGAAAAACGACGCAAATGTCATTACGATCTCAAATTCTGCAATAAGCGTAATTTTCAGCTGATAACATTGACAAATTATCATTATGAAACATCATATTCGTTCTAAAGTAGCTTTTAACGTTGTTTAAGAAGATTTCCCCCAAGTTCTCAAATAATCCAGTGTTTGTCTAAGGAAATATTGCCTGCCTCAAGAAACGTCAAGCCTCCCATTGCATAAGCTGCACAGAAAGCTCTAAACATACTTATGTTTGTATCAATCAAAAGGGTTCCACTTACGGTGTATGTGACTTCCTGAAGATTAATAGGGGCTGAGTAAATTTTTACAGGCAGGGAAAACTGCATTTTTTTTTCTTTTTGCCGTAAGAAATGTGGCACTTGTTTGTGGTTTTAAAAGTTAGTTCTCTAATTAAGAAAGGACTTTCATCAACCTGTCGCGTAATTTTAATTTGAAAACTTGCTCTGGCCTCGAAGAAGTCTTCCAGCAAAAACTGACGATTCGTGTTGGAATTGATCTATCAGAGTTTATACAGCTCCATCTTGCGCGAAAGCCACAATGACCATAATTCACGGACGTCAAGCACACACAATACAAACGATTTGCTCGAACCTCAAGGGCTTCAGAGCTACAATACAAATTCAAGTTGACAATGAGGACAAAAAAATTAAACAAAATGCGATGTAAATTTACGCTGATATGGCAAATACTTAAAAATTTTTTGCTAAATATTTTTTAGCTTGACAGTTTTTAATGAGTCGTCGACAGTGTAGTTCAAATAAATTAATGGCGCTGTAAATATGACTTTTGTCTTTCGTCATACACACTGTCTTGAAATTTACTTACGTCCTTTTCATATTACTGATAGTTTACTGAATTGTCCACTGCCTTGTCTCAAGGAACGTTAAATCAACTCGTAATAATGATTCGAAATTATTTCAAAAGTTCCTATTCTTGTAAAATCGTTCGACCTTCTTCCCAGGGCTTCGTCACTACAAGTTAGACAAGAAGCACAACG